AAGCCTTGCTTTGACTCATTCATGCACGTTTGAGAAATCCTGCAGCGTTTTTAGGCAGCCATGCTGAGGAGCAATAACAGCTAAAGGTGACATAGATACTTTATTATGGTTTAGTATTTAAATGTATGCCTGAGAAACACATAATATTGCCCCTTTAAGCTATATTTTGGTTACTAGCGGCCCTGTTTTGTGTCATTGATATTTTTCCTCAGATTACTTTAGTTTATTAGTGTAATATTTTGTTCTGTTTCTGTCGTGATTTTTATAACCGTACCTTTTTATCATCTCTTCTGCTGCAGCTTCATTCAAGAACACTAACTGAAAAATGCATGGCGTTTGTGGAGGGAGCCAGGTGTACCAATCCCTGCCTGCCCATGGCCCGGCACTGTATCTCACGTATCCTTAACCACAGTTTACAGTCTTTTCACTCAGCTTTGGCTCCAGATCAAACTCCTCAGCTTGCAGTAGCTGTGAGTTTTTAAGTGAGCCTAAAATAAGTCCTYCTTGTGGTCTGTTGATTTGTTTCCCCAGAACAAAAAGGGACTTATCACTTCAGTTAGAAGGAACATTTCTTTAACCACCTTGACCCTAAACCCTAAATAATTTAAACAGCTTCATCAGGATCACAGCTAAATCACGTAACTGTTTTGAGAAAAGACCTGTTCTGTTCTGTTCTGTTCTGTGTAATATGTTCATTTTTCCTTCACATGATGTTTAGACATTTACCAGGACAACAACCAGGTGTTGTTTAAAATTTGTCCCGGGCTTAAAGATGTTCCGTGTGATCGAATCGTCCACATGGGTCAGTCCGATGATCCTCGCTGCCCCCTCCACCTCACTCTGCCTCCGCTCATGTACCAGCCAGAGCAGGAAGCCCCCCCTCAGGACCAGTTCACACCTGCAAGCAAAGAYATGTACCTGAGTGCAGCAGAGCTGCAGCCCACAGAGAGCCTCCCCCTGGAGTTCAGTGATGTAAGTAAAGACCMCTTCATCCCACTGACTGACAAGTTTGTTTTATCCAAACAAAAAATTCTTCCCCCAAAATTAAAACCAGAAACTGAACTTTGTTCTTTTTATTTTTCAAAAGTAAACTTTGTTTACATTTAATTGTGTAATATACAACAAATGTCCGCCTTTCAATTYAAAATACAGACAATAAGGTTAAAGTGCCAATCCTAACATTACATACAATCTCTTATTTAAATTCAAAAGGTTTATTTTAAAAACTATAACACAGTTATGGTGCGTTCACACCAAATGCGATTTCAGCATCAGGAGCATCAGATTTACAAAGTCTATGGTGGACGCGCTTCAATCAGCGTCGGGAAATGCTGCGGCGCCTCAAGCACGATTAGAGCAGCGCGATTTGAACGATCTGAGCATTCGACGTGCTTGATGCGCAAATCGCTGAAGTTAGAAAATCTGAACTTTTGCAGCTCGATGCGCCGCGTCATCCAATCAGAGAGACTCCACTGTGTGACGTAGCGACAGATTTCCCGACGGGACATTTTACTGAATGATGTCCACTAACCTGAAACAGATGGAGAGGAGCTCTTTAGCTGAAATCGAGTGCCTGCAGTCGGTGTCCTGACAGGAGATATCCTCACCAATGCGTGGCAGCGACTCATCAGACTGGACTCGGGACAAAAATAGTCCTGAAAGCGAGCNAAAAAAGTGTTAAAGTCTTAAATTTAACTTTCCTTAAGCTGTAGGAACCTTGGCAATACACGAGATCATAAAAACTAACAAATAATTGCAGAAGAAAAAGTTAATACTCGTGCTGTATTAAAATGATGATTTAGGACTGTTTGCATCCAAACTGTTGAAACTTGCAGTGGTTTTAAAGTTGACTCAGTGTCCTGCAGCTGAAAACCTCCACTGATRAAAGGCTTCTGGTGCAGAGACAYGTKCTGCTGATTCTGTCAGCTGGCCTTCATTTTCACCATGTTAATAAGCCAACATGGAGGTGCTCTTATTCTGACAGGAAACTGGAGCTCATCTGGGACCAGAGTTTCCACTTCATCCTCCTTTAAGATAAACTAACAGCAGAAAAGCACGTGGTCACTGTTTTTTAGTTTCTCAGAGGGGATGTGTGGGAGGTGTGGAAAAAACACACATCAGTACTGTTGGTGTATCACTACAGACGTTGGTGTTTTTTCAACAATGCTTGTTTTATTTAGACTTTACAAAATAAAAACTCTGATGTAGGATTAAAGTTTCAAATACAATAAAAAGTGTTGCATTAATATTATTTATTACTAACATTGTTGAAGTTAGTAAAACTGTTCAGTTTGTAAATATCTGCATTAAAAGTGTCTCTAAAGTCTAGATTCAGGTCTAAAACCATCCAAGTTATTTGTGTAAATATGTAAATGTGACCAAATGTTTTTATTGTTTTGATTTSTGATGAGTTTCTGTCGTATGAAGGACCTGGATGTAGAAGGGGACGGCATGCAGGGTCCTCCGTCTCCGCTGCAGTTTGACACGGCCCTGGCCCTGGAAGACCAGACCATCAGGGCCATCGCTGAAGCACCGATGGACATCCTGACAGCAGAAGACTCAGACCAGGTGGACCTGGACACCTCAGGACAGGAGCTGTCAGAAAGAGACGTGGACGCCATCATCAACGACCAGGTGAACTCCTAACCCTGTTTTTAACATCTTCAGGATTAGCTGTGGTTCTAGACCCTGGAGACGGATCAGTGATGAGTTCAGTGATGAGATTAAAAACAAAACAGAGCAACAAAAAATAAATATAGGAAAACTAAACCACTTCTTTCCTGTTTTTATATGGATGAAATTTAGAGGTGCTTTATTTAGAGGCAGCTTTATTTTGAAATTTAGAGAGGCAGCTTTATTTTGAGTCATAGCGGTACAGTGAAGACAGCTTTATTTTGAAATTTAGAGAGGCAGCTTTATTTTGAGTCATAGCGGTACAGTGAAGGCAGCTTTATTTTGAAATTTAGAGAGGCAGCTTTATTTTGAATTTATTTTGAAATATAGAAAGAGCTAACAGAGTGTGTCTGTGCTCTGGTTGAACTCTAACTTCCTGTTGGTGTCTCAGGTGGTGTCAGACGTAGTTGGAGGTGAGGAGGACGCCACGGACAGTTCAGTCCCAAATCCTGACCCAGCTGCAGCTCAGTGAGCTCCTGAACCAGCTCAGCTCTGATGTTCCAGTTCAACCTTCAGATTTCTCATCAGTTGGTTCATCTGACAGGACGATACTCAGTGGTAGCTGAGCTGAAACCTCCAGAACTGGACCAGGACCAACATGTTTTACGTTCAGCACAGTGTGTCTTCTCTTCCAGATCAGAGGTTACATAATTTACCTTCACGTCTGCAGCTTTTACAGGCTGAATGTTTAGAAAAACAGAATAAATGTTGTTTCAGCTCTGAACCGTCTGTATGGGGTTAGTTCTTTATAAAATGGTTTCTAATAAATGTTTAAACATCTCTTATCTTTGAGCTTTTAGAAGGTCCTTCATGCTCTGAACTTTATAATTAAATACCATAGAAATTTTATAGCTCTGATGTTATAAAGTTGAGGCTGTTTCCTCAAAATGAGAACTTAAAAATACTTTTAGCCGGTCTGTTTTAGTCGACTGTTAAACTTTAATCACTGAGTCACTATTTTATTACTGTCCTGCTCAAAACTGGATGTTATATTTCTTTATACAGCTTAGAATAAACCATGCAGGCTTTATTTTACAYGTGTGTCACCACCTAAACATTTTTACAAGAAATAAACAATGTTTCCTCTCTGAGCTTTAAACTGATCACAGAGAAATTGACTTTTACAAATTCAGTTTTCATTTATTACAGTTTTTACAAAAGTGCACTTTAACTCAATCCTATTTATTTATTTATTTATTTAATTAATCAATCTTTAAAACTCAAAGCACTTAAGAGCTGTACAGTTCAAAATAAAACTAATTCCTTCAGAAAAAACTGGAATAAAACAAAATCAACTTATAAAAAGATGACTAAAGCAGAGGTTGTCAAACTGGGGTCCCAGGACCCCCAGGGTTCCACGAGCCCGAATGTGGGGGTCCTCCAAAAGTTTCAATAAATTATTTAGGATTTTATTTGAAAAATGAATATGGGGAACAATGCACTAATAAAACAAACAAACTAAACCAAACCAAAAGTAATATTTTCATGGTATTTAGGGGTTAAAGTGACAGTAAATTATTTCTGGAACAGCATGGGGTTTATGAGGGGGTCCCTGGAAAATTTTCACACTTGTATGTGATCACCAGACCCAAAATGTTTCAGAACCCCTGAGCTACAGAATAAAACTGAGTTTTAAAAGCAGCAGGAGGATGCCTCTGGTGTGAAAAAACAGTTTGGAACCCACAACCAGGACCGGCAGACCTGGACCCACTAGCAGGACCGGCAGACCTGGAGAACGAGCAGGCAGGTAAAGAAGAGCAAATTTAAGTTTGATCATTTATACTGAGAACGTTCAGCTGACAGTTAATCAACTTTTAGACTCTCAAATTGTAAAAAAAAAAAAAAAACCTAATTTTTATTCTCCGTATATTAAAAACACACAAACTACAGACAAAATGTAAACGTTTTTGTCACCAGTGTTCTTCCTCTTCTCAGCTAAGCTGACACAGACTTGAGTTATTTCAAAGTATTCTCTGTAATAAGTCGAGCCAATAGATCTACAGCTAATAAAATAAATATTAAATGGAGGTGAGGCTGTTGTTAGAAAAACTAGAATGAAAAGTTGACATTTTCAGGAGCTGATTGTTGCCGCAGGGTGGCGGGCTTGAGTCTTCATTTCATGAACCTGGCAGCCAGGGAGTGACAGTCAGTGTGGTTACCACAACAACCATACAGAGCTTCCGGTAGCAGATTTTTTTAAATCTCAGATTAATTAAATTATTTGAGTTTTAATCTGTGGGTGCATCATTCTGCAGAGTTTTCTTCAGGAATTTTCTGTTTTCTCAAATTGGATTTTTTTTTAATTTATTTATTTTTACATTTTCAAAGTTTAGTCTGTTTGTTTTAAAAGGTTAGTTGTTTTTAAAAGTGTTCAGTTCTGTAAAAGTTCTGTTCATAGAAATAAAATAAATAAAAATCGGGGCGGACGGTGATGCAGTCCGATCCGGTGACGTCACTTTTCTCACCCGACCCAAACACGTCCAGCAGCCGGAGCCAGCGCCGCGTCGGACCCGAGGAGGTCCAGCGGAACCGAACCCTGCGACAATGAGCTCGAACCTGCGGGTCTGAAGGAGGGGACCGCAGATCCATGCTGGGGTTTGTCCGACACGATGCGGCGGAACCGGACCTCCACCCTCTGAGGTGAGCTGCTTCAATCTGGGCTCGTGCTCAAAGGCTCGGCTGGCACGCWTTGTTGTCGGAACCGAACCCGGTGAGGCTCTTCTCGGTGCCGGTTCTGCCCGGGAACATATGAGTCTGTTGTTGAAGAGAAGAAAGCAAAGAGGGCGTTTCAACTCTGCCGAACAGAACCTGTTTGGGTTCGGAAGGCCCGTCTGTCACAGAAACATGTTCCTAACCCGTCCAGCTCGGTTCTGTTCGGCTCAGCTGCTCTCTGCTCACAGATTTACTGATTTTAGCCTCGAAAATCTGAGAGAGGAAACTGAGAGAGGAACCGTGCGGTTCTGGTTCCGTCCTGCAGAGAAACTGCTGCAGAGAGATGCTTGGTTCTGACCCAGAACACCTCAGCTGGGTCATTGTTCTGACAATACAGTCTGACTTTATTCACAATCTTATTTACAACTAAAATAATAATAGTTTTTGTTCTTTAAACTATAAGAATTTAGTTTCAGCCTGAAATCCATCAGTGAGTCCAGACGTCTGTCACTCCCTGACCTCACTCCTGATCAGACATGAACTCAGCAGATTAATGCATTTAAACATTGACAAACTTCAGTTTGGAGGAGAAAACAGTTCTAACATGTTCACATTTTAATGTTAAAGTCATGTAAAGTTTGTGGGAAAAAGATGATTTTGTTTGCAAAAATAATCTAAAACGAGGGTGTGACGTCATCACTCTCTAATCTAAAACTTCATAAAACTGCTCCTGTGATGTAGCCTACAYATCTTTCAAACAGAAAGTCAAAGAAAACATTTTTATATTTAGGAAACCTGAGATTTACACACAATTTTACCCAGTGTGTCTTATACATATTTTGGCAGATTTTCAGCTAAAGTGAAACAGGAAGTGACATCAAAGGGGAACTCTTTGAGTAAAGGAACTTCCTGGTCTTTTTTTAAAATCAAAACAATATTATATGAACTCCGACTCTTGTTTATCGCTCTGATAGAGACTGAATATAATCAAAAGAAACACCAGATCCTTCTCTACAGTCTGTTAGTTATTGTAGCAGCTCTGTTTACATGCAGACACTCCCCTTTGACATCACTTCCTGTTACTGAACATGAGAATATCTCAAAAACGGTTCATCTCAGGGATGTGCCATTTATTTTTTATCAATGTTATCTTTTTACAAATGCATTCATATTTATTGTTAAAATGTTATGTCACATATATTTAAAGTGGACATRTGATGCTTTTWAATCCTTTTCCCCAATTTAAATCCTTCAGTTGGGGTCTGTAAAAAGAGGAACTGCAATGCTTTGGTCTGAATTCCTCCTTAAGCCGGGTACCCCTGGGTTCACACCAAACGYGTGTTGAGCAGCCAGTTTATTCGCAAAGTCTACGGTGGACGCGCATCTAAGWGCAGCGCAGCGCCWTTTGYCAGTTTAGCGYGGCGCACAAGGTAGCGGTAGGTGTGGCTGAGTGTTTTCGGTGCATGCGGYGCGTCCAAAGCAGCCGCTGCTYGAGTTCAAAAATCTGAACTTTCGCTGCTCGACGCAGAATAATTTTTCCATGTGACGGTTTCCTGAACGTTGCCCACTAACCTGAAACAGACGGACAGGAGCTCTTTAGCTGAAATTGACCTTCTGTAGTTTGTGTTCTGGCTGGAGATATCAGCACCGATGCGGGTCAGCAGCTTGTTAAACTGACCGCGGTGTTAAACTGGGCTCGGGACAAAAAACAAAGTTGGTCAGCTCACAGCTCCTGGAGTGGTGAAACTCACCGAACAAACCACCTCTAAATTATCTGGTGTGCGTAACATTCGCTTGCTCTTTAATAAATAAAGCAAAGCCATTTTCTTTATTTTATCTTTATTTCATGCGTCATTAAAGACAGACTGGAAAAAACCAAGAAGCTCCTTCGTCTTCAGACGTGCATCTAGTCCAGGGGTCTGCAACCTGCGGCTCTGGGGCCACATGTGGCTCCTTGGCCTCTCTGCAGTGGCTCTTTGAAAATATGACCAAATATAAGATTTATTTTTTGATTTGGTTTTTTTATATCCACAACAGAAATCAATTTGTATGCAAAAATGCAATCAATACTATTAATACAAAAAGTAAAACGTTAGCTCATACAGGCTGTTGTTTTCTTAAATATTCCAATTTCTTTCTATGATCTTTCTCTCAAATCCAACAGAATTACCGTATTTATTCATGTATAATATGATCTCATGTATAATACGACCCCCACTTTTTTGAGC